TACACCTCTCTATATTTTTCTTCTCTTCTCTTTTTAGGAGGGGCAAGAAGCACAGTATCATTCTGAGGACCCAGCTGTCGGTGCGAGTCCATGCCTGCATTGGTAAGTGAAGTTCGACGTGCCTGAAAGAGAACAAATAAACACAATCTATCTCTGAGAAGCAAATGTGGGGAGTGTGAATCAGGCTTGCTGTGTTCCAAGTTAGGGATAACGGCCAATAAATTGATTTCTTTGTTGTGTTTGTTGCATACTAAAATTAGCTTATATTAGTTACGTTACCCTTAAAGTATGTTAAACAGCTCAGGTGAGTATAGGATTTGACAGTAAAGTGTGATGGTTGGGGGTGCTTTGGAGAATCTTGGATTTTCTGTCTTGCCACAGCCTTTCTGTGTGCCTGAAGAAGACTGTGTTCTGAATTGTGAAGGGGACTTGAAGAATTGTTGGCTGATAGCTAACTACTGCATTTTAATAGCATGTAATGTTTATTACTTCACATCTTGAAGATCTTGGCCATATAGTTGTCATTATCACAGTGTCAGCGTCTTAAAAACCCTGGTTAAAACAATGCTGTCACGAGAAGTCTGATGAAAGTCATGATGTGCATGTCGTAAGAGTTTTAAGGTTGTATAAACAGAGGCTGATGTGCTGTGATGGTGTTAATATGTACTCCAGCGTTCTGCAGAGCAATGTGTTTCACTGACTGTTAGTGGCAAAGCTAATGCTCATGTTCTGGTGATATTATGATAGATGTTATGGGTGGCTGGTTTATAAAAAAGAAAAATAATCCAATATGTATGTGCCACAGTTGCCTGTTTTGTTTTCAGTTTCTCTGTAGTAGATTAAACACCCTAATATGTTTAGCTTATAGTTGCTCTTATTTCAAGAGATCATAGCTGAAGCATTGGAATGCTTAACTTTCCTTAAAAGGAGGAGGAGACAGTCTAAGTTTTGTATTATTTCCACAGTGCTACTGCTGTTGGAGGATACAGGCTTTAAATACAACTAAACTCCTTTCCCCTGCCCCCAGGACGTGTTATGAAATGGCCTTTCTGGGAATTTGAACTGAGCATAAGCAACCTACAGGATTCCTCAAATACCTCCCATTGAGAGCGATCTCTAGGCTGCCTCACGTAGGAACAGATTCTCCTCTACTACCATTGGCTTGAGGAAGTACAGTAGAGCAAGCCTACGCGTTAAGTATTAGAGGAGAAACAGAGATGCTGCAGTATAGGCTGATTTTATAAATGTGAATGAAATTAAGAACAGCTTGGAGAAGCTTGTTCTTGTTAGGTCTGGGAATATATTTGGCAAAACAGACCAGTGCAGCAAGACAAGATTTCATATGCTTCCTGGATTGAGGTTTTATAAAAACAATTTTCATGTAAAAATTTTTGTCCAGAGTGCAGCTATCAAGGAATTGGAGCACACCAGGCTCTGAGCTTCCACGTGTGGTTACTGTGTTGTTACCTGTTTGCATTCAAGCTCACTGTGGGCAATTAGGTGTATTACTGTGCATGTGTGTTAATTGTTCCTGTATGAAAGCGTGTTCCTTTGTCAGGTGCTGTTACTGTCTGGCAGCAGTAATGCATTCAGTGGTGAGTACAGAGGAAGCCAGGCTGCAAAGCTTGAGTCCAGATTGCAAACTCCTCGAGCAGAGGTGCGTTTGGATATGGGCTTTTGGCTTGGTTTGTTATAGGCAGAAAAGCCAAACACAAGATCTGGTTCTAATTTCCAGCCCCCCCCCCCCCCCCCCCGTGTTATTTTTTTTTTTTTTTGTGGGGT